AAAATTGACTTCTTCTTACTCACTCATTTGTGTCCTTTTTTTGTGGTGAGCTACAGTGTCATTGACACTTTCATTAAATGGAGCTTGGCTCTGTTGTGAAGTGCTGCTATGTGTGTCTGCGTATGCGTGCGTGCTTGCGTTGGGTACCACACAGCTGCCCCTTATAATACTTTTATTAAATTAATATTATACAATTCTACTTGTAAGGTCTACTTATACATCAGTATATAAAAATGATATGAAAATTGCAGGGAAAGTGTGTAATAGTATTGGATCAGTTGATATAATTCTAATGAATTTCGTCAAAATGTCTGATACACTAAGGATTCTTATGTATAAGATCTTGGGAGTATTTGCATGCTTACATTTTTGTGCCTGTATCTGCCACTCATATAGCACATACAGTGTGTTTACAGTTGATTAATATGTTCCAGGTACACGACTTATTCCAGCTGACTTTTTGGCCCCAGTTAACTCCCAAAACTCGATTAGGGAAGGCCTGCATCACCAGGTACAGCAATTTAAACTCATATATTGCATTCAATAGGAGAAGGTTCTCTAAGAGTTAAAGACATGAGTTATGTCTAAAGCTAGAACACATGTAGAGCCCATAGCCAATAAAGATCACAGTTTAATCACTCGCATATTCTATTTTAACGGCAGCAAATGTTATAGGGCATATTTGAGAGAGTGTTGGGAATATTTGAGAGCATATTTGAGAGAGAATCTAACTTATTCTTGTACTAACAGATGCTAACAAACAGATGAATGCTTTTTAGCGCCATGATAAAGTGGGTGTAATGTTCCATTACGTCATCTTATATCAGCAGTATTTGATTTCTTATATACTAAGTTGTTTCTTACAATGTGTTTTGTAGATTCTCCTGGCAAACTTCCTTGCACAGACAGAGGCACTGATGCTGGGGAAGACTAAGAAGGTAGCTGAGGCAGAACTGAAGAAGGCTGGCATGCCAGATGAGAAACTATACCACATCTTGCCCCACAAGGTATAATAAATGAATTGCACAGCAGTCTAATGTGTAGACACTGACATTCCTATGTTATCAGATTGAGGAAATTTTGTAGTCAGCTGTCTCATTGCATCCAACTAAATCCAACAACAGAACGACTTGTATCCTTCATGTAGGCTATTTGTACCACATCTGGCCTTTAGCAAAGACATAATTATCTTAACCGAAAATTGCCTCTGGCTGCAAAAGCTATTGATATCTATTGTTTAGACAAAGGAAAGTTGCTAAGATGAGGGTAAGGTTAGCCAACTGACTAAACTTTATGTTAGGTATTTGAAGGCAACAGGCCAACCAACTCGATCCTGTTCAATCAACTGACACCATATACTCTTGGTCTACTCGTTGCGATGTATGAGCACAAGATCTTCACACAGGGTGTCATCTGGGACATCAACTCCTATGATCAGTGGGGGTAGGTTTTAGCACCTAGATAACTAAGACTAAGACTGAGAGGTCTCTCACCGAGTCCGTAAAAAATCTATGGATGTAGAAAAATTGCCCGGTTAATTGATTCCTCTGTAATTTTTATTCAGGATTCTTTTTTAAACTGGCTGCCACAGCTGTGATATGGATGAGATATCATTGTACATATATACTTCTGAGCTGCATATGAAACGCGTTATGCTCGGCAATCATGGCAATTGCCAGCTAACAGATATTATAAACATCTTTATGTGAAGCTAAGCAAATGTTACGTTTGCATATTCCATGTTCCCTTCCATCTATATATAGTTAATCTAATGCGAAATAATTTGCTGTAACAAAACTGTTTATAGCGTTGAGCTTGGCAAAGAACTGGCCAAAGCCATTGAGCCACAGCTGGCTGGAGGTAACCCTGTCACTAACCACGATGGCTCGACCAACGGCCTGATCAACTTCATCAAGTCACATCGCAAGTAATGAGGATAGACCTGTTACTTGAATGCATGCCGAGATCGTTGCCGGACCAAGTGCTTAACTGTTTGCTATTGCCTGTAAAGACTGGTGTAGGAATGAGCAATAGTGAAGTCATATCCATGAAACGATAATAACCATAAACGTAAGACATAAGTATGTGTTAGAGTTATTACAAGATTAATGTAGGACTCTCTAGTCGTCTGCATTGATTGCTAAATGCACTAGTTATCTGTGCAAGAGTCAGCGTAGAATGCGTTAAATTTGCTTATTTGTTTGGCAGCTAGATACACAAGTACACTACTTGTACAGCCAATTCAGTGACTGAATTTATTTAAAAATTATGAAATTGTATCTTCTAAAACCTTAGTCATGTGTTTGCAGTTTAAAAGTACTAATACACAGATATAAGCAATTGTTACCGGTGATAGTACTGTTGCAGTGCAAATATGTGTGCCTAATATTTACCAAAAGGAATCAACTGTCAAATTGTCTAGGGAATTCTATTTTAGACTAGGTCTTGTGATTTCAGCATTGGTTATTTTTGAATGTGCGTGGGAATGTGTTTAATTTGAAGTATAACCATTATTGAATGTATGCTTGCTTTAAATTACTGCTGTCTTCAAGAACACCAGCAAGTGAATTCTCATTAAGCTCTGTTGTTTTATATAATATATATTCAGCTGGTTATACTATATGCACTAATGGTAGGAGTAAAAAAATGTTGCAATTCACAGGATTTCTATAAGTGTTTTGTTGTGTGGAATTATACACTTTACATCTGGGATAAGATATAAATTGTCATTTAAATCGTGGAGTGCTATAATAGCAGAATATATTTATATTACTATTTTACAATAATTTATTATACTTTTATATATCACAATTACACAAATTACGTACTATTCCAATGATACGAGCTATACTCGCTGAGCTATGGAGTACCGTGGCCAGGGTAGTTCTCCCATTAGCATTCAGACGTTAGTATAGAATTACCATAAATACATAATATACACATTAAGGATGTGCATAAGGATATACACATTAAGGATGTGTCCTTAAGTACATATAAGGAACACCAGTGGCGTAGCCAGGATTTTTTAACAGGGGGGCCAAAAACAGTGAACTGCGCAAAATGGTGGATAATTTAATGGTTCCTCTGCCTCCCTCAGTCCCTCTCCACACCCTACGTTCCCCCACCTCTCAGCTCTGCAATCTTTGTTTCAGGCGCCATGCATAAAGGCGACATTTTTGTTCGTTGTTCTCTGCTACCCAGACATATAAAAGTAGGGGTGAAAAACAGGCGGGGGGTATGGGGGTCCTCCCCCAGAAATTTTTTAAAATGTTGATCGCAGGAGATGGTATTTGAGGCACTTTTGAGTACATGTACAGCCTTCATTCTGACTAGGATAATTCTCTTTTTAGTAGAACAATTCTTATATTTTTATTTTTACTTTCGGATCAACAGGGGGAGCCATGGCCCCATTTGTCCCCCCTCCTCCCCTAACTACGCCACTGAGGAACACAACCCTCCTTTACTTGAATTTCGTCATGCTAGGTGTCACTAAGAATTATCGCCGAATGCGCGCGCAAAATATCTACGTGTTTGATTTTTCTGGCGCCGAATGCGCACCGTGTGCGGGCTGATTTACTTGCGCAAATGGCGCGCGCGTTTATATAGCTCAGCGCCGTTGGCGCGTGCCGAATACGCACCGTGTGCGGGGGGAATTTAGATCGTTATCCTGAGCAAAAGTAAAACGACTGTGTGTGACAGTGTAAGTAAAACGGCGATATACGATCATTTAGAGAGAGAGAGAGAGAGCGAGAGAAGAGAAGAGAGAGAGAGAGAGAGAAAGAGAGAGAGAGAGAGAGATAGAGAGAGAAGAGCGAGAGAGAGAGAGAGATTAAAAGGGTGTGCGTGCGTGTGATTTGCCTAATAGATATATACGTATACACGCATACGCACGAGCGCGCAGCACGCACGCACGCACGCACGCACTCACACACACACACACACACACAAATATATATATATGTACATATATATATATATATACACCTGTTTCATAGTCAAAGCGTTTCGATAGGTTCGTTTAATTATTAATAATATATTACTATTAATATTATAAAGTTATATGTTCTACATGCTTTATCAGAACAGTCAAATGACGACTATATTTGATTCTGTTCTGTGCAATTAGAAAATACTCAAGTGCACTATAGGCCATTTCGAAGACATAGCTATATATATACCTATAACTCCTAAAAAACGACGGAAAATAATGTCGAATTCATTGTTAGTAGTATTAGTGTATTCCAGATATAACATAATACATTCACTTGGTTGCTGTTTGAACGCCTTATACAATATGCACTTTTACTTAATTTTTACAGGAGAGATGAGCGAGCCAGATGCACGCATGACGTATATATATAATTATGTAGGACGCAAACGTATGCACACGCAAACACTATGGAAGGCCATTACCGCCAAAACCTACCTATTTTAATCGCGCTTAAAATGTATTTTAAGCGCGATTGAATTCCAGCCAATCAGAACAGTGGTTTTTAATCGCGCTTAAAATGTATTTTAAGCGCAATTGAATTCAAGCCAATCAGAACAGTGGTTTTTAATCGCGCTTAAAATCGATTTTAATCGCGATTAAAAACCACTGTTCTGATTGGCAGGAATTAACAAATTTAGTTAGGGTTAGGGTTAGGGTCCGGAACTGCAGTGGGAAAAAAAATTTCGCCTCCCCGGACGTTGGTCGTCAGTCATGCTCTCAAGATGTGGCGTCTTCCAAGGATTAGTTCAAATTTAGTTTTTTGTTTTGTTTTGGCCATTCCACACTGGGCCCCTTCCTCTGGCTATAATTGTACTCTACTGCGATATATACACAGATCAATTTGATGAACAATAGGGTTTCTTCTTCGCTACAGTCCTATAAGACTATGAGGAATATGTGATAGGAAAGATTCTAATAATTATATGACAAAACTTTTTATATGACATAATACTATTTTTTTATGTAATGTATTACCAGAGTACGTATGATATGAGCATGTGCTCTGCCTGGTATTATCATAGTATTATTGAATAATATGGTATAGAACAGTCTTAATTATTATTAATGACCAGGGGTCATCGCACGAAAACGATGCTAAGCTAAGCAATTTTGTAAACAATGGCTGCTCAGGCAGGCACGCACAGAGCAGGTACACGCCACTGATCTACACGCACGTACACGCGGGTACACGGAGATACACGCACGTACACGCACGTACACGCACGAACACGCATGTACACGCGGGTACACGCACGCACATGCAGATACACGCACGTACACGTACACGCAGATACACGCACGTACAGGCGGGTACACGGAGATACACGCACGTACACGCGGGTACACGCACGTGCACGCACGTGCCGCGGGTACACGCACGTACACGCGGGTACACGGAGATACACGCACGTACACGCGGGTACACGCACGTACACGCAGGTACACGCACGTACACGCGGGTACACGCACGTACACGCACGTACACGTACACGCAGATACACGCACGTACACGCGGGTACACGGAGATACACGCACGTACACGCGGGTACACGCACGTACACGCAGATACACGCACGTACACGCACGTACACGTACACGAAGATACACGCACGTACACGCGGGTACACGGAGATACACGCACGTACACGCGGGTACACGCAGGTACACGCA